TTCTCTGATCATGATCCTTTTCTTCCTCACTGCAGGGAAAGATTTCTGGTGTTAAATTATAAAGACAAATTTGAGCCTGGCATTCTACAGCTGAGTCAGTGGTTTAAAGAAGGAAAGCTAAAGGTAGAATTTCTATTCTTTATCAATATAATTCTTCCTGCTACTTGATATAATTTTGCATTATTTAAATGTACTATAGCAAACATATTAGTTTCATTATAAAAATTCCTACAAAAGAAAAGTATGCTGAATATTATAAATTAACTCTACCTCCCAGGTGAGTATAACCTCCTGATTAACAAACCCTTAACAAACCCTTGTTTGTTATTCCCTTTATCTAAAATTTTTTGGCTTTACTTTCCATAGATTATATTACAAAATCAATAGGTTTTCTCCCAAATGTAAAATTGTTATGTTTATTAATTTAACAATTATTTATGGGATGCTACTATGTGTTAGAAGCTGTGCTTTCTCAAAAATCATGTAAGCACCTCCTGATGCCTTTACCACCATACTTCTTCCCTGTCCTCCCTGGACATCCTAATGTATGTCTTAGTTGTTGATTGAAAGTCAGGAGTTATTAATCTGGGCTTCAGACATACTGGCCTAGGCTGTTCTTTTTTTTTTTTTTTGAGACAGAGTCTCCCTTTGTCACCCAGGTTGTAGTGCAGTGGCGCAATCTCGGCTCACTGCAACCTCTGCCTCCTGGGTTCAAGCGATTCTCCTGCCTCAGCCTCCTGAGTAGCTAGGATTACAGGCATGTGCCACTCGCTCAGCTAATTTTTGCATTTTTAGTAGCGATGGGGTTTCACCATGTTGGCCAGGCTGGTCTCGAACTCCTGACCTCAAGTGATCTGCCCATCTCAGCCTCCCAAAATGCTGGGATTACAGGTGTGAACCACTGCACCCAGACTGGCCTAGGCTATTCTTGAAACCTGCAAATGATAGGCAAAGTTGTACCTTTGTATACTTCTGTACTTTTCCTGTTTTAGAGTGTATAGCTTGTGATCTGTTACTAATTGAAGAGATTAAACAACGGGAAAATAGGATATTACTTTAAAAAAATCAATTGATAGGAAGCTTTTCTGGACTACCTACATGAAATAAAGAGTATCTATTTTTAGACAGAAGGTGCTAAATAGTATTGCTGCCTTTTGTAAGTATGGAAACTATTATATAGAAACATTGAAGTTTAAAGACTATTAAATCTACCTATTTTGATTTACAGATTAAGGAGACGGTGATAAATGGGTTGGAAAACATGGGAGGTAAGATGAATGTAGACTTATTTATTATATACATGTGCTCAGCACACAAAGATAAACTTTTTTTTTTTTTTGAGACGGAGTCTCGCCCTGTCGTCCAGGCTGGAAACAGTGCAGTGGCGCGATCTCAGCTCACTGGAAGCTCCATCTCCCGGGCTGATGCCATTCTCTTGCCTCAGCTCCCAAGTAGCAGGGACTACAGGTGCCCACCAGCACACCGGGCTAATTTTTTGTATTTTTAGTAGAGACGGGGTTTCACTGTCATAGCCAGGATGGTCCCAATCTCCTGACCTCGTGATCTGCCCGCCTCGGCCTCCCAAAGTGCTGGGATTACAGGTGTGAGCCACCATGCCTGGCCCTTTTTTTTTTTTTTTTGAGATGGAGTCTTGCTCTGTCTCCCAGGCTGGAGTGCAGTGGTGTGATCTTGGCTCACTGCAACCTCCACCTCCCGAGATCAAGCAATTCTCCTGCCTCAGTGTACCAAGTAGCTGGAACCACAGGCGTGCACTAGCATGCCTGGCTAATTTTTGTATTTTTAGTAGAGACAGGGTTTCAACATATTGGCCAGGCTGGTCTTGAACTCCTGAACTAAAGTGATTTGCCTGTCTCGGCCTCTCAAAGTGCTGGGATTACAGGTGTGACTCACCCAACAGGCCAAAGTCTTTTATCTTTTTATCTTTTAATGCTACCTCTCTGGCCTCCCCTTCCCTGCCCTTCCTTCCCCTTTTTTTTAAAGAGATGATCTTGCTCTGTTGCCCAGGCTGGAGTGCAGTAGCATGATCATAGCTAACTATAACTTATGAACCTATGGGCTCAAGCAATCCTCTTACCAGAGTAGCTGGGACTACAATTACCTGCCACTATGCCCAGCCTTTTTTTTTTTTTTTTTTTTAATTTTCCATAGAAACAGGGTCTCACTATATTGTCCAGGCAACTCCTGGCCTCAAATGATCCTCCTGCCTTAGCCTCCCAAAGTGCTGGAATTTACAGGTGGGAATGCCTGGCCCTTTTTTTAATTTTTGAGGTAGGGCCATGCTCTGTCACCCGGGCTGGAGTGCAGTGGTGCGATCATGGTTCACTGCAGCCTCTCCCTCCCAGGCTCAGATGATGCTTCCACCTCAGCCCCTGGAGTAGCTGGGACTACAGGCACACACCACCACTCCCAGCTGATTTTTGTATTTTTAGTAGAGATGGGGTTTCATCATGTTGGTCAGGCTGGTCTCAAACTCAAGTGATCTGCCCACCTTGGCCTCCCAAAGTGCTGGGATTACAGTTGCGAGGCCCCATGCCTGGCCTTCACTGACATTTTATTCCCATATTTTTTTTGCTTCTAGTCTTCAGATACTGTAAATTAGATACCAATTAAATATTTTCAGTATAGGCAAAACTTTTTTTAAGATGTTAATTGGGTTTGTGTATAACTTTTTACTTGAGATTTCTTTTTTTGAGACCCAGTCTTGCTCTGTCACCCAGGCTAGAGTGCAGTGGCGGGATCTCAGCTCACTGCAAGCTCCGCCTCCCGGGTTTACACTATTCTCCTGCCTCAGCCTCCCAAGTAACTGGGACTACAGGCGCCCGCCACCTCGCCCCACTAGTTTTTTTTGGTATTTTTTAGTAGAGACGGGGTTTCACCGTGTTAGCCAGGATGGTCTCGATCTCCTGACCTCGTGATCTGCCCATCTCGGCCTCCCAAAGTGCTGGGATTACAGGCTTGAGCCACCGCGCCTGGCCGAGATTTCTTTTCATGACAATTTTCTATGCTTAATATTGAAAATCACTGAAAAAGTTATTGAAGATAATTTTTTGTGTTGTACCTTTTGGAAACAAGTATGATAGTGACATTTACCTTTTCAGATAATCTACTTTCTCTTTTTCCAGCTGCATTCCAGTCCATGATGACAGGAGGCAACATTGGAAAGCAGATAGTTTGCATTTCAGAAGAAATCTCTTTGTAATTGCCGTAAATGTCTTCAAGGCAATCATAGATTTCTTTTCCATTTTGCATATTTTCAAAGATACATTAAAAAATGCTTAGAATATACATAGCTCTTGATTTAAATGTGATCATAGGTGTTATTTTTAGTTGCATAGGGGATTTGATACAACCATTAATGGATCACACACAATAGGTTTTTAATAGTAACTTTTAGTAATTACTTTTATTAATTTAAAAGAATGCTTGAGAGGCACTTCGTAAAGATTTGTTAAACTGGAAAAGTTTTACATGATCTGATACAACCATTAATGAATCATACACAATAGGTTTTAAAAAATAATAACTTTTATTAATTTAAAATAGAATGCTTAAAATAGAATACTTGAGAGGCACTTAGTAAAGATTTGTTGAACTGGAAATGTTTTACATGATTCTTAAACTGAAACTTGATGTAAAAATAGAATTGAGATGGCCTTTTTTTCACATTGTAGACAGAAAAGAGACTTAATGGTATGATGTGTACATAGGGACTAGGGGCAGGATTGGGGGGTTTCAGAGCTTGTGTAACAGTTTTTGGGATAGGAGACCAGCGGCTTTGGGTTGGAATTAGTATGGGAAGATAAATAACTTAGGTCGGTTAAGTTGACAAGATTTACTCCAGAGGATGATCTCTTTGTATTTGCCAAATAATTTACTGTATAGCCTAAAACCTCAATATATATTGAGAAAAGTGTATGTTTATTTTAGGTTAGCAGGCACATACTGTCAAATAGTTGTAAAGATTGAGAGCTCAAACCGATGTAAACATCAGGGAGTTTTAGGTGATTAAAAGGATTGACGGCCGGGCCTGATGTCTCAAGCCTGTAATCCTAACACTTTGGGAGGCAGAGGTGGGCAGATCACTTGAGGTCAGGAGTTCGAGACCAGCCTGGCCAACACAATGAAACCCCGTCTCTCTAAAAATACAAAAATTAGCAGGGCATGGTGGTGGGTGCCTGTAATTCCGGCTACTCAAGAGGCTGAGGGTGGAGAATCATTTGAACCTGGGAGGGGGAGGTTGCAATGAGCTGAAATCGCACCATTGCACCCTAGCCTGGGCGACAAGAGTGAAATTCCGTCTCAAAAAACAAAAACAGATTGACAATAAAGACAGTTTCAGAAAATGACTGGGCAAATTAAATGTTTGTAAACATGAATGTTCAGGAACTGATGATATACCTCAAGAGTTTTGTTTTATTAATTGTACTCAACCCTCGCAGAACAGTAAAACTGAAGATTATTGTTTCTGAATGTTTTGGCTTATGATCGTCTGTCTACACACTGCCAATACACTTTTGTATGCAACATTTGTAATAAGTAGATTCAAATTGTGTTGGTAATCAGCCTCTCCAGTTTGAGTGATTCTTTCTTGTTACTTTTCCTGGACCATTTCATCTCCTGAGGGGATTTCACTTTTTCTTTGTATGTTGCCAACTCCCAAATCTCCATCTGTATTTCTCACCTCTTTCTTGAGCACTGGACCTTCACCTCCAAGTAAATATCCTCAACTCTGGATTGGCACCTTATACTCTGCTTTTTCTTTCTTTCTTTCTTTTTTTTTTTTTTTTTTTGTCTCGCTCTGCCGCCGCCCAGGCTGGAGTGCAGTGGCACGATCTCGGCTCACTGCAAACTCCGCCTCCCGGGTTCAAGCGATTCTTCTGCCTCAGCCTCCAGAGTAGCTAGGATTACAGACGCGTGCCACCACGCCTGGCTAATTTTTGTATTTTTAGTAGAGACGGGGTTTCACTGCGTTAGAATGGTCTCTATCTCCTGACCTCGTGATCCGCCCGCCTTAGCCTCCCAAAGTGCTGGAATTACAGGCGGAGCCAACGAGTCCGGCCTACTCTGCTTTTCTAAAGTGGAATTATCTTCCTCTGAAACGTTTCTCCTTTATTTTAAATCACCATTAGTAATTTGTGTACCCAAACCTGTCATCGAGGCTTATCTTTAACCTTGAAAATCCCTTTTTAAAGATAACCCCTTTAATTCCCCACATTAGTTGAGTCTCATTCTTCCGCACGCAAATATTTAAAAATAAGTAATTTCAAGAAGTCAGTCAAACTCACAAAGCTTTAACAAGGTGGCATCTACCTTGGAAGTCAAGTGTTCAAGGCCGCAGTCGGGACATCCAAGAGCTCTTTACATCCTAATTACAACACCGAACCCAGACTCACTGCATACCCCGTCCCGTATGTAATGCAAAACTTGATTCTGCAAGTTCCTTTCTCAGGCGGTGAAACTTCCAGGTCCTCTCCATGGAGACCTCTGATAAATGTTTAAGCAGTGATCCTTTCTTTCTCGTTTGCCTCCATTGCAACGCCTCCACTGATGGGAAAAACTACTCCCTCCTGCGGGGTGGCAGTGACGTCAACGAATTAGCTGACCTGTTTTTTCGGGCTTCGCGGACCTAGGAGTCCCGAAGGCCGAGAGTGAGTGAGTGGGAGCAGGGAGGCTGCGGCTCCTCCTGTCCGGGGCGGAGCCCTGCGTCGCGGGCCTGGGCAGCCCCGCCAGCAGCCTGGTCGTCTGGGTCCCGAGCGGCGCTGCAGCCACCCAGCCCTCAGGCGAGCGAGTGGGTGTGTGCGTGGGGGGTCGGCCAAACTTCCTGTCCCGCGCTCGAGCTGCTTCCGGCGGGAGCCGGAAGACGCTGTGTGTGGACGGAATTCGGGACCGAGAGACGGCCGGCCGGCTGCCCGGAACTGGAAGGTGAGCTCCGAGGTGGGCCTGGCCACACCTGCTCGGCTAGGTAGTAACCCAGAGGGCGGGGGCCAGTACCGGCTACTTGGGGCCTGGGGCCTGGGGCCGAGTTCACCCCGAGAGAGGAAACCGCCCTCCTTGGGCATCCCTCCAGGATCTGGCGGGCCTGGGAGCGGCCAGTCTGAAGCCCTGCGGCTTTGGCCCTTCCCCTCGCGGGTTTTTAGGGGCGATATTCCTGCTCCTTTGCTTGGTTTTGGGGGCAGGGATATAGGAACAGCCTGTCCTGAGAAAGCCGGAGTCAGCGAGTCCCCAGGGCGGGGGCTCTTGGACTGCACCCGCAGCCGGGGCCTGCCCACGGACCTTGGGGCCTTATTACTAAGGCCTTTATGGTGTGGGGTAGAGGATGCCAGGAGGCCTTGCCCTGAATGTTTCGGTCCATAGCTACCCTCTCCTTTCATACCACTTACTTTCTGCGTCTGGAAAAGGGACAGCTGCCTACTCGACTGGGCTGGGTCGCCCGTTTCACCTTTACCTGTCAGTTAGGTGGGTAGGGGAAAGTGTATGAATTGTGTTTACGGCCTTTATACATTTCGTGTCGAATTTATTTTCTGAAGTTTCTCAAGATAATCCAATTTACTAAAGTTTATCCCACTTGCTCATGAGGCTCAGAAATGCATTTAGGCACCATTTGGAAGTTAAATATTAAGTTGGGACTTAAGAATTAGTACTTAGGTTGGCACGAAGGTCAACGCAGCATCTTTGCGGTAAATAAAAGAAACATTTGGAAATAAAGTCGGGCATTTTGTTAGGGGGTGAGAAATTGCACTTGTTTTTTTCTTAGTGTGGTGCAGAGTAAAAGACAACTAAAGTAGCAGTCAGAAGTTTTAAGTACTAGTTTTTTACGTTTTGCATCTAAGTAGATGTCTAATTTTTGGCAAGTTGCTGAATCTCTAGCTCTGGGGAGTTTTTCTGTATAAACGAAAGGGTTTACCCTTAGGGTTATGACAATTATTCCGAGGCACTGAACTTTGAATAGAAGTGACATAAGCATTTCTTTGTTTTGGAAAGGTAACTTGAATGGCTGCCTAAAGGATGCATTGGAAAGAGGAATTTTAAAGGCGGGATGACCAGTTAGAAGACTGTTTTAGTAGTATAGTAGAAAGTTGGGCCGGGCGCGGTGGCTCAAGCCTGTAATCCCAGCACTTTGGGAGGCCGAGACAGGCGGATCACGAGGTCAGGAGATTGAGACCATCCTGGCTAACACGGTGAAACCCCGTCTCTACTAAAAAATACAAAAAGACTAGCCGGGCATGGTGGTGGGCGCCTGTAGTCCCAGCTACTCGGGAGGCTGAGGCAGGAGAATGGCGTAAACCCGGGAGGCGGAGCTTGCAGTGAGCTGAGATCCGGCCACTGCACTCCAGCCTGGGCGACAGAGAGACTCCGTCTCAAAAAAAAATAATAATAAAAAAAAAAGGTACTGAGAGACGTAAACAGGGCTTTACAGTAGGGAACAGAGAACATTCTGGGAACAGAGAATCACGGGAATTATTTAAAAATGCAGAAAGAGATTTAAAGACCTAGAATTTGCAGCTGAGTGGGAGGAAGATTGGGCGATCATTGAAATAGATAATACAAGAAGAACAGGTTTGGTAAGGAAGATAATAATCTGGATTTTGGACATTGTTAGGTTTGAGATGCTGTTGGATGTACATACATGTGGAGATACCTAGCAAGCAGTTAGAAATGAAGGTTTGGAGTTCAGCAGAGATGACTAGAGAAAAATGTGGGTATCATTTGTAGTGTCATTCATTCATTATACAAATATTTAGTACCTACCAGTTGCTTACTGGGAAGCTTGTATGGAAGCCCTTTAAGCTCATAATAAACACATTAGAAGTCGGAAGTGACTGTTAATGGGCACAGGGTTTCCTTGTGAGGTGATGAAATGTTGTAAAATTGATTGTGCTTGTACAACTCTGAATAAACTAAAGACATTTTAATTGTACTCTTTAAATGAGTCAATAGTATGTATGTGAACAATATCTTAATGAAACTAATTTTTAAAAAAGATTTACATTGCAGTTTTGGAAATCTGTTGAGTAAGGAATTGGGAATAGGAATGTTTAATTGCGTATTTGCTGTTACACCTGTAGCTAATTAGTACGTTGCTCTGTTAAAGATGAGATCCCCACAGTACACTTGATAAGATACTGAGTGCTGGCCGGGCGCGGTGGCTCAAGCCTGTAATCCCAGCACTTTGGGAGGCCGAGACAGGCGGATCACGAGGTCAGGAGATCGAGACCATCCTGGCTAACCCGGTGAAACCCCGTCTCTACTAAAAAATACAAAAATCTAGCCGGGCGAAGTAGCGGGCACCTGTAGTCCCAGGTACTCGGGAGGCTGAGGCAGGAGAATGGTGTAAACCCGGGAGGTGGAGCTTGCAGTGAGCTGAGATCTGGCCACTGCACTCCAACCTGGGCGACAGAGTGAGACTCCATCTCAAAAAAAAAAAAAAGATACTGAGTGCTCTAGTACAGATTCTTTTGATTCAGTTGCATATCTTAATGCATTCTGCTATTTTCTATTTTATTCATACTGCACACATACAAATCATAAACTTGGACACCAAAATTGTATGGCAGTACTTAGTTATAATATGAATACCCAGTGCTTGAGAAAATGCTCGTGTTAATTTTTAAAGATTATTGAAGTGAAAACACTGAAATAAAAAGATGTCATAGATAACATATAAAGGACAGTAAATAGTTGTCTGGTTCCTCAGCGATTTTACAATCCTGGAATCTCAAAGTTGGAGGAACCTTAAAGATGACTTAAACAACAAACATCTGATAATTTCTTGGCTTGTTAAGCTGGAATTGGGGAAGAGGAATTCTTGTTTTTTTTGATACAACCTCCATTCGTTACCCAGGCTGTAGTGCAGTGGCATGATCACTGCTTAGTGCAGCCTCGATCTCCTGGGCTAAAGCGATCCTCCTACTCAGCCTCCCTAGTAGCTAGGACCACAGGCATGTGCCACCATGTGAAGCTAATTGAAAAAAAGTGTTTTTTTTTGTAGAAATAGGGTCTCACTGGCCGAGACTGCACCACTCCACTCCAGCCTGAGCGACAGAGCCAGACTCTGTCTCAAAAAAAAAAAAAAAAAAAAAAAAAAAAAAGAGAGAGAGAGAAATAGGGTCTCACTGTGTTGCCTAGGCTGAGAAAAGGAATTCTTAAGCCATGGAGATTCAGGATCAAACCTAGAGAGATGTAATCACTATTCAGGCTAATGATTCCTGTGTACTTCCCCTGTGGGTGGGAGTCCTGGCTTTGCAACTTAATAACTTGGTAATTAAGTATATTACTTAATTACTTAATACTGAGCCTTGGTTCCTTCCTCTCTAAATAGAGGGATGGGTAAACATATGAAGCTGTTGCAGAGCTTGAATAAGAAAAATGTGTGAAAGAAAAGTCAGGGATTTATGATACTTTATGTGGGAAACTTGGAAGGAGCATTTCCATTTATATCTTGTAAATGGTTACTTCTTTTTTTTTTTTGACACAGAGTCTTGCTCTGTCGCCCAGGCTAGAGTACAGTGGAGCGATCACTGCTCGCTGCAGCCTCTGCCTCCCGGGTCCAAGCGATTCCCCCACCTCAGCCTCCTGAGTAGCTGGGACTGCAGGCACGTGCCACCACACCGGCTAATTTTTTGTATTTTAGTCCAGACGGGTTCCACCATGTTGGCCAGGATGGTCTCAATTTCCTGACCTTGTGATCCGACCACCTCGGCCTCCCAAAATGCTGGGATTACAGGCGTGAGCCACTGGCCCTGGCCTAAATTGTTACTTTTTTACAATGAAAAAGGAGGATTTCAGGCAGCTAGAAAGAGAGAGGGAGAAACCAACAGGACAAAAAAAAAAAAAAAATTTATTCAGGTACTTTTTTTTTTTTTTAAGATGGAGTCTTGTTCTGTCGCCCAGGCTGGAGTACAGTGATGCAGTCTCAGCTTACTGCATCCTCCGTCTCCAGGGTTCAGGTGATTCTCCTGCCTCATCCTCCGAAGTAGCTGGGATTACAGGCACCTGCCACATGCCCGGCTAATTTTTATATTTTGGGTAGAGACGGGGTTTCACCATATTGTCAGGCTAATCTTGAACTCCTGACCTCAGGTGACCCACCTGCCTCGGTGCTGGGATTACAGACATGAGCCACCGCGCCCAGCCTAAGTGCCCTCTTTGTTAAGTCTGTCTTGTTCTACCTTTCCACACTACCTGGTATTAATTGGAAACTTAAAGTACCCATTGATTGAAAATATACCCATCCTGGATACATTTTACCCTGTATGATTATTTGTAATAGTGCTCCCAATTTTAGCAACAATTGTACCAAATAAAATGGACTAACATTCCAAAATCATGAAAAGAAACTAAACTATTAGAAAGTAAGAATTTAAATTCCAGGGAATGGCCGGGCCTGGTGGCTCATGCCTGTAATCTCAGCACTCTGGGAGGCCAGGACAGGCGGATCACCTAAGGTCGGGAGTTCGAGACCAGCCTGACGAACATGGAGAAACCCTGTCTCTACTAAAAATATAAAATTAGCCAGGTGTGGTGGTGCATGCCTGTAATCCCAGCTACTCTGGGAGGCTGAGGCAGGAGAATTGCCTGAACCTGGAAGGCAGAGGTTACGGTGAGCTGAGATCGTGCCATTGCACTCCAGCCTGGGCAACAAGAGCAAAACTCCATCTCTAAATAAATAAATTAATTAACTAAATAAATTATAGGGAGAGAACAGCCGCATCAGGGTCCTGAGAGTACTACCTTTGGGAAACACTCTTCAAATTTTTACTCTTTCTTTAATGTAATTTTTTAAATTATCAAAACGATATGGTTGCCTTTTAGAAAAATTGGACAACTGAGAAAAGAAAATTAAGTCACACCAGCCTACCACACAGTATGGCTACTTTCATAGCTGTATGAATCTCCTTTTACTTTTTCTGATGCTTATTATAACTAGTTTTAATAATAGCAAGTATATAATTTTGTATTTTATTTTTATAATTTAACATGTCAGTCATCTGTTGCTGCATAGTCTTCATAGCATTTGTTTGTTGGTTTGTTTTTTGAGATGAAGTCCCACTCTGTTGCCCAGGCTGGAGTGCAGTGGTCCGACCTTGGCTCACTGCAACCTCCACCTTCTGGCTTCAAGGGATTCTCCTGTGTCAGTCTCCCAAGTAGCTGGGATTACGGGTGCCTGCGACCATGCTTGGCTAATTTTTGTATTTTTAATAGAGAGGGTTTCACTGTTGGCCAGGCTGGTCTTGAACTATTGACCTCAAGTGATCCACCTACTTCAGCCTATCAAAATGCTGGGATTACAGGTGTAAGCCACCATGCCCAACCCTTGATAGCATATTTTGAAGTGACAGTGCCATATTTAATCAATCATTCCCTAATTGGGGTGTGTGTGTGGTGTATGTATATACATTGCTTCCAGTTGTTTATTATTTAAGATGGACATCTTTGGACATAGCTCTATCCATATTTAAGATAGTTTCTTAGATTATTAAAGGTTGAAATACTGCATCAAAGCATAGTATTTTTATGGGTTTTGATGCCTGTTGAGCTTGTTGTATTTTAAAACAAGTGTTTTGGTTTGAATTCTTTATTTGCTTGCTTGTGATTTTTTTTGGATATGTGAAGAAGTGTCTTTATGTACCTGTGTTTTCCCACTGCTCTTAATGCCCCTTCTCTGTTTTTTACCCTATTCTAGGTTAAATTGATTACCCACCTAGTACAACATCTTACAGGAAGAGCATAGTATTTCCTAGAGGAATATGAACATAACAGGAAGGTATCATTGGCTCTGAATTCAATTTGAACTTGTCCCCTGAATAGCTACAGGTTTTGGAAGCTGAATCAATGTTATCAGATGAGTTAGAATCCAAACCAGAGGTGAGCCCAGTCAGCTTGTTTCCTTTTCTTTTGGCGGGCTATATTTCAAAGTTTATCTTTAGTTTAGGGGTAAGCAAACTTTTTATTCAATGAGCCAGATAATAAATATTTTAGGTTTTATAAGCTGTATATGTTTTTCAGTATATGTAAAATCATTATACATTTAGATAATTATGTAATAAAATGTTGTAATAAAATTATGTAATAAAATGTTGTAAATAAAAATATGTTTATGTATAAATATGTACTTACATAAATATGAGATACATGCGATGTATATAGGTGTATACATATATAAATATTTAGTACTACAAATTCTTCTTTTGTTTATTTTGTATATGTAAGTATTTTCTTTCTAAATGTGATTAGGGGATTTAAACATTTTTTGTTGTTCACTTTTCTTACTTTAAATTTAGCACATCTGTGTTGCAGAATGGACACTGAATTTGGAACCAGATTACTTAAATTTAAGGATTGGCATTGCTCCTAACTAGTCATGTGACCTTAGACAAGTCACTTAATGTTTCAATTTGATTCCTCAGCTGTAAAATACACCTTAAGGCCGGGCATGGTGGCTCACGCCTGTAATCCCATCACTTTGGGAGGCTGAGGCAGGCGGATCACGAGGTCAGGAGATTGAGACCATCCTGGCTAACACAGTGAAATCCCGTCTCTACTAAAAATACAAAAAAAAATTAGCAGGGCCTGGTGGCGGGCACCTGTAGTCCCAGCTACTTGAGAGGCTGAGGCAGGAGAATGGCGTGATCCCACGAGGCAGAGCTTGCGGTTAGCCGAGATTGTGCCACTGCACTCCAGCCTGGGTGACAGAGCGAGACTCTGTCTCCAAAAAAAAAAAAATACATTTTAAATCTTACTGGGTTAATGTGATAATTAAATGAGCCAGTACACAGAAAATTGCTTTGTAAAATGTAATCAATATGATGCAGTTGATTTTAAGCCATCATTTTAAAATGTAATTATTTTTATCATTTCTCTGTTTGACAGAAGGTGGCAGAGGTTAACTTAATTACAGTGAAGTGTCACTTAACGATAGAGATACATTCTGAGAAATATGACATTAGTTGACTTCATTATTATGCGAACATGGTAGAGTATACTTTCACAGACCTGGATGGTTTAGCCTGCTACATTCCTAGGCTGTATGGTATACCCTATTGCCCCTAAGCTGCAAACCTATACAGCATGTTACTGTACTGAATACTGTAGGCAGTTGAAGCATAGTGGTAAACATTGTGTATCTAAACATATCTAAATGTGGAAAAAGTACAGTAAAAATAGGGTATTGCAATCTTACGGGACCATAATCCTGTATGTGGTCTGTTAACTGAAATGTCGTTATGCAGCACATGACTTTATATAAATCAGCTGTTCTCTAGAACAGAGAACTTGATAAAATAACTTTAGATATTATGGTGTTTAGTTTTTCTTTGAATATGGATGAGACTAGTGAACAGTCTTAATATTATCTTTTGGTAAATTCGGAGGTTTAGATACATTTCTAACAACTTGTATTTCTCAGTGTTGTCTTTTTTCCCCCTAGCTCCTGGTACAGTTTGTTCAGAATACATCCATCCCATTGGGACAGGGGCTTGTAGAATCAGAAGCTAAAGATATTACTTGTTTGTCCCTCCTTCCCGTGACTGAAGCCTCAGAATGCAGTCGGCTAATGTTACCAGGTAAAAATTAAGATCACTAGAGATAGGATAAAGAAGTCTTAAGAGCTTAGCCTACTCTATGTTACTGGTGGAATTAATATATCACTTAATAACTGACTGGTGGAAACAGTAAAAATTAGGAGTCATGGAGAAAAAGCAACCATGAAATCATTAGTGCTTTGGTAGTTTAAGCCATAGGAATGGATATGATCACCCAGAGAGTGTGAGAGGGGGGAAAAAAGGTCAATGCAAAACTATGGAACTATTTATTTAAGGTACAGGGTAGGGCAGGATAACTTGTAAAGGAGGGAAGAAGCGAAGACTAAAATAGTTGGATGAACATCAGCAGAGTGGAGGCATGAAACACAGGGGAAATCATTGTATCAAATGCTACTGACAGGCCCAGTGAAATAGGGACTAAAAGGACACCATTGTTGACTTTGGCAGAACCTGTTCCATGGAGAGAAGAGGATGGAAAGTCAGGCTGCAGTGACTTGAGTGTACAAGCTTTTTTTTTTTGAGACAGAGTGTCACTCTGTCGCTCAGACTGGAGTGCAGTGGTGCGATCTCGGCTCACTGCAACCTCTGCCTCCCCTCCCGGGTTCAAGCTAGTCTCCTGCCTCAGCCTCCTAAGTAGCTGGGATTACAGGTGCGTGCCACTATGCCTAGCTAATTTTTGCATTTTAAGTAGAAACAGGGTTTCACCACGTTGGCCAGGCTGGTCTTGAACTCCTGACCTCAAGTGATCAGTCCACCTTGGCCTCCCAAAGTGCTGGGATTACAAGTGTGAGCCACTGCATCAGGCCTATCAATACATACTTTCTAAAGACTCTCCTGGTACGAGAAGGAAAACAAGAAGGTGATGAGATAGAGGGAAATTTTTTGTTTGTGTTAAGATCTGAGGTATTTGAGGGTTGCTTTATGCTAAGAGGAAAGAACCAGTTAGAAAAGTTGAAGACAGGCCAGGTGTGGTGGCTCATGCCTGTAATCCCAGCACTTTGGGAGGCTGAGGCAGGAAGATTGCTTGAGTCCAGGAGATTGAGACTAGCCTGGGCAACATGGCGAGACCTCGTCTCTACAAAAAATTAAAAATTAGCTGGGCATGGTGGTGTGCACCTGTAGTCCCAGCTGAGGTGGGAAGATCAGTAGAGCTCAGGAGTTTGAGGCTGCAGTAAGCTGTTTTTGTAACACTGCACTCCATCCTGGGTGGATAGAGCAACACCTTAAAAGAAATAGTAATAATAAATTTAAAAAATGTATATATATGTATATACACACACACACAAACAATAATTAAGGAAATGAAAACAACAGAGTGTCCATCTCCCCTTAGAATGACTGTTATAAAGATGGAAGATAACAAGTGTTGGCAAGGATCTGGAGAAAGGGTAACCTTTGTACACTGTTGGTGGGAATGTAAGTTAGTATAGCCATTATGGAAATTGTATGGAAGTTCCTCAGAAAACTAAAAATGGAGCTATCATATGACCCAGCAATCTAACTTGTAGGTATATATCTAAAGGAATTGAAATCAGTAAGTCAAAGATATCTATACTTACATGTTAATTGAAGCATTATTCATAATAACCAAGATAAGGAATTAGTTTTGTGTTCATCAACTAATGAATGGATTTTTAAAAAATGTATTCACCGGCCGGGCGCGGTGGCTCAAGCCTGTAATCCCAGCACTTTGGGAGGCCGAGACGGGCGGATCATGAGGTCAGGAGATCGAGACCATCCTGGCTAACACGGTGAAACCCCGTCTCTACTAAAAAGTACAAAAAAAAACTAGCCGGGCGAGGTGGCGGGCGCCTGTAGTCCCAGCTACTCCGGAGGCTGAGGCAGGAGAATGGCGTAAACCCGGGAGGAGGAGCTTGCGGTGAGCAGAGATCCGGCCACTGCACTCCAGCCTGGGTGACAGAGCCAGACTCCGTCTCAAAAAAAAAAAAAAATGTATTCACCTTCTTTTCCACATTTCCTTTAGTTTTAATTTTGATTTAAAGTATTTGAGACATACAAACAAGTATAGATAAAAGTAAATGAAAATCCAAATACTTGCCTCCCAGCTCATAAAACACAATATTACAGGCTGGGCATGGTGGCTGACGCCTATAATCCCAGCACTTTGGGAGGCCGAGGCAGGTGGATCACTTGAGGTCAGGAGTTTGAGACCAGGCTGGCTGGTGAAACACTGTCTCTACTAAAAATACAAAAGTTAGCCAGGCGTGGTGGCATAGAAAAAAATACCACAGCCTGAGATACAACCAGAGGTAAAAAGGTAATGGCAAAAACTGCAATAGCTTTTGCACCAACCTAATATAAAAGTTAAGGAGAGGGAGCTCTCTACAAGAGAAATAAAATGTAGATCCTATTCTTGAGTTAGTATTCATTGCATAGCTATATTTTTCAAGGAAAAAGTACTGATTTCTGGCTTCAAAAAGGACTAAATTCCATGGTCCAAATGTGAATGGTTGGTTATTCACCAACCATTACTGCCAAGTGACAGAGAATTCTGTTCCTCACATTTTGGCTGACTGCCTTTAGAACATAAAGCCATCTCTCTGTTCTTCTGTGAGACAGAGTTTTTATTTGTATAATGAGAATGCTGTCTGCTCCTATAAGGATGTTAGCTTCCAAGAGATGTTGGGTGCTGTGTATCAAAATGGTGAGCCCCTGGAGATAGGTGTTACATAAAGCTGTGATATTTTCCCTTTACTAGATGATACTACAAATCATTCTAACTCCTCCAAGGAAGTCCCTTCCTCAGCTGTTTTGAGAAGCCTTCGGGTGAATGTAGGTCCAGACGGAGAGGAGACGAGAGCTCAGACTGTACAGAAATCCCCGGAGTTTTTGTCCACTTCAGAGTCTTCTAGCTTGTTGCAAGATCTACAGCCAAGTGATAGCACTTCTTTTATTCTTCTTAACCTAACAAGAGCAGGTATTCTTTCCTTTTCTTGAGTTCTGCTAATGCCTAAGAAAAAAATTAGGGGTGGGGCATATTTTACTTAGTCATACTTAGAAAGAAGCTTTATTATTTTATTATTTTGGAGAATTGCTGTGTCTGGTGACCATTTGAATATGTAGAGGGAGAGGGAGGACTCTAGTATGACCCATCTTGTTTGGGAAATTATGTAGTGCCACTTACTGAGATCGAACAGGAAGAGCAAGGCTTGGGGGAGGATGATTAATTCCAATTTATGCCTATTTATGTTGAGATTTTGAAGGTACATTCAGGAGGACAGGTCCTTTAGAGAGTTAGAAACAGGAATCCAGAGTTCTAGAAAGGTCTGTTTTGGTGCTTATCAGCATTCAGGAAATGTATGAAACAATGAGTGTGGATTCTTTGATTCAAGAGAAGTCTGAAGCATAAACAGAAAAGAAGGCAAGTCTGGGACCCTGGGAAAAAACATTTAAGAGGACAACAGAACAGGAAGGAGCAGCTGGAAGGGGATGAAGAGAACTGGAGAGATTGGTAGCGGGGAAGCCAAGGGAGGAAGAAGTTTTAAGGCAGAAAATACACTAAATCATGCCAAATGCTACATGATGGGCTTATTAGTGAGAAGTGTGTGTCTGGTGACCCTAGCAAGAGCAGTTGTTACTGTGGTAGCTAAGGTAGAGGCCAGGGTTAAAGAGATGGGGAGTGGATGGGAGGTAAGACAGTAGATACGCAAGTTAGAAGGTACACTTGTTCAAGAAACTTGACTTTAAAGGAACAGGGAAGAAGGTAATAGCTGGAGAAGTACTTGGGGTTTTCTACTTTTAAAAAATAAGGGTGAGAGACTTGAGTTAGGACATATTTAAAGACTCTAAGGAAATGCTGGCCGATAGGAAACTGGTTGCAGATGGGAGAGAGGAGATAACAGAAGTATATATGAGGGGATAATTGAAGAATGAGAATGAAATACTGTAGATGGGGGTTAGTCTGGTTGACCAAGAAAGACAGCTTTGCCTCTGAAATTAGAGGAGGCAAGGTAACGACAAGCCTGTAGACTAAAGGTAGAAAGGTGATAGCCTACTTTTCAATGAGAAGTTTGAGGTAAAAGGCGAAGGTCAGGAATAGCTTATTTAGGACATGGAGAGTTTCTGGGCCAGGCGCAGTGGCTCACGCCTGTAATCCCAGTACTTTGGGAGGCCGAGGTGGGCGGATTACAAGGTCAGGAGTTCACGACCAGCCTGACCCACGTGGTGAAACCCTGTCTCTACTAAAAATACAAAAATTAGCTGGGCATGGTGGCGCATGCCTGTAATCCCAGCTACTCAGGAGGCTGAGGCAGGAGAATCGCTTGAACGTGGGAAGCAGAGGTTGTGGTAAGCCGAAATCGTGCCACTGCACTCCAGCCTAGGTGACAGAGCGAGACTCCGTCTCAAAAAAAAAAAAGGAGGGGAGAGTTTCTGAGCCAGGGCAAATAAAAGGCTTGCTTGGTTGCTAACTTTTCATATATTTTGTTTCTTCCAGGTCTGGGCTCTTCAGCTGAGCACTTAGTGTTTGTACAGGATGAGGCAGAAGATTCAGGGAATGATTTCCTCTCCAGTGAGAGCGCAGACAGTAGCATTCCATGGTTCCTCCGGGTTCAAGAGTTGGCCCACGACAGTTTGATTGCTGCTACTCGTGCACAACTGGCAAAGAATGCAAAAACCAGCAGCAATGGTGAGGCCTGTTGGCATTTTCCTTGCCACTATTCTGTGCAAAGAGATTTTGGTAATGCAGTGGCTGGTTTGAGTTGTATATAATTCAAGTTATTTTATTGATGAGAGCAGAAGGCTAGAAATCTATAAATTGTGTAAATTTTATTTTCTGTAAAATAACTTGGCCATACTAGATTTGTGTCCAAAACCAACTAGTATTCTGAATTCTCAACTTTAAAAATGTACAGAGCCCCTTTTAAAGAAAAAATAATATACATTCTGGGGTTTGAATTGTTTTTATTGTAATGTCTCTTAAATATGCAAAAACATAAATTCTGTGTAAACTTCATATACTTAGAGCTCTTACACTCTCATGAAATCAAAACAGTTTTATCAGTTAATAGGAATAAAACTACCAAACCCATGAAAATAAAAATAACATCAAGTCATTGTGGCAGAGGATTATGTTTTGCTGAAACTGAATTGCTGCTCCTGGCAGTTTAACAATTAGCTATGATGGTTTTAATGCTTTTTCTTTTTCAGTTCAGCATGCTTGTACTAATTACTCTGTGCCACTTTTCTCTGTTCTAGTAATTTTCAAAGCATTGTCACTGGTTCATTGATGTCACATGGGAACTGAGAAATGCAAACTCTCAGGCCCATGCTAGACCTACTGAGTCAAAAACTTGGTTCTGATACATGTTAAAGCTTGAGAACCACGGCTCTATTTGGACCACTGCAGAATCTTTGCTTATGTAGCATGTCATCAATTCTTTTTTATGTCTGCCTCTGTGTTTTCTCATTAACATGTGACAACTCAATACTACATGGTTTAATGTATCATTATCACAAACTAAGCTTAAGCACTTAGTACACAGCTGTTTGGAGTTTATGCAGATTATTTAGTATATGCTTATTATTATTTTTTGATTAGCATTCAAATGAAAATAAAAGTTAAAGTTTCTAATAGAGAACTAGAGTTCCCTATGAATATTTGGAAACATTGAATTTTTTTTTTTGACTTCTGTTTTTTCCCTTTTTGTGGAGAATGGGGTTTTGCTCTGTTGCCCAGGCAGGTCTCAAACTCCTGGACTCAGGTTCTCCTCCTCCCTCTGGCTCCCTAAGTGCTGGGATTATAGGTGTGAGCAACCATGCTCAGCCAAACTCTAAACCTCTGTTCGTTTTCAAAATACTTAGTTCTGTTTATGACTACCATAGTGCTACTTAGAATGGTTCATTTTACCATTTTGGTAGGACCCTTAAAGTTCAGATTCTTCCTGAGATGTATGTGCCAATCTCTGGATGCTGAAACCTTCAGCATTTCCTCTTACATTGAAGAAATAGTGCCATATTTGCCAATGAGAAGCGGTGTAGGGAGGGGAGCTTGCAATTTAGAATCTGGGGGCTTGGGATCCAGGCCTGGGATCATCATTTATTAGTTCCCTGCCTTGGGCAGTTTAACCTCCCTTAGCTTCAATTTTCTTATGATCTGAACATGGAGATCAGGCAGCTTACCTGATTGACTTGTTATGGAGATTACGTAACATTCTATCTGGGAAATGTTAGCATCAGCAAAGCATTGTGTGGATGTTTTTCTTACTCTCAAAATATGTTGCCTTACTATCTTAAAAACTACCTTGTGTGCCTGAATATAAAATCACCCCAAATAGGCTGGACATGGTGGCTTACGCCTGTAATCCCAGCACTTTGGGAGGCTGAGGTGGGCGGATCATCTGAGGTCAGGAGTTTGAGACCAGGCTGACCCATGTTGAGAAACCCTGTCTCTACTAAAAATACAAAATTAGCTGGGCATGGTGGCGCATGCCTGTAATCCCAGCTACTTAGGAAGGCTGAGACAGGAGAATTGCTTGAACCCGGGAAGCGGAGATTACAGTGAGTTGAGATCGCAGCGCTGCACTCCAGCCTGGGCAACAGGAGCGAAACTCGGTCTCCCCAAAAAACAAATCACCCCAAATATAAGACAGTCTTTTGTTTTCCAACAAGGTAATTCCCTAAAAGCCTTTTTTTTTTTTCCCCTAATTTAGTTATGTAAACCTTTAGGCATGTAGATAAAATTAACATTATAGGTTGCTATTTGGAAACTTTATGATCTTGGTTATACATACTCATTTTATTTATTTATTTATTTTTTTGAGACCGAGTCTCTCTCTGTCGCCCAGGCTGGAGTGCAGCAGTGCAATCTGCTCACTGTAGTGCTCACTGCAAACTCCACCTCCTGGGCTCAAGTGATTCTCTGCCTCAGCCTCCCGAGTAGCTGGGACTACATGTGCATGCCACCATGCCCAGCTAATTTTTGTATTTTCAGTAGACACGGGGTTTCACCATGTTGGCCATGGCTGGTCTCAAATTCCTGACCCAAGGTGATCTGCCTGCCTCGGCCTCCCACAGTGCTGGGATTACAGATGTGAGCCACTGCGTCTGCTCCCACATAAACATTTGAATCATATGAAATATATCTATATTGCTTTTACCCACTAACACAAGCTTGTCCAACTCATGGCCTGTGGGCCACGTGTGGCCCAGGATGCCTTTGAATGCAGCCCAACACAAATTTGTAAACTTTCTTAAAACATTATGAGTTGTTTTTTTTTTAAAGCTCACCAGCTGTCGTTAGTATTAGTTTTTGTTTTTGTTTTTTTTCTTTTTTTTTTGAGACGGAGTCTTGCTCTGTTGCCCAGGCTGGAGTGCAGTGGTGCAGTCTCCGCTCACTGCAATCTCCGCCTCCTGGATTCGTGCCATTCTCCTGCCTCAGCCTCCCAAGTAGCTGGGACTACAGGTGCCTGCCACCATGCCTGGCTAATTTTTTTTGTATTTTTAGTAGAGACAGGGTTTCACCATGTTAGCCAGGATGGTCTCAATCTCCTGACCTCGTGGTCTGCCTGCCTTGGCCTCCCAAAGTGCTGAGATTAAGGCGTGAGCCACCGCGCTTGGCCAGTATTAGTATATTTTATGTGTGGCCCAAGACATTTCTTCTTTCAGTGAAAGAAGAATTTTGGCTCGGGGAAGCCAAAATATTGGACACCCTTGCACTAACATGTAATGAAGTGATTTTATTCAATATTTTAGTGCATTTTTAACATAAATATCTTTGTCATTGTCAACACTGAAGTCAGTTTGTGAGTCCTCTAGCATAGATTTTCAGAGCATATTATCTTCATTTACAATCTAAGTTGTTTGAAATACAGAAACATTTTAAGTTTGCGTAAGATGTTGTGTATTAGGTCAGCAAAGGCCTTTGGGCCAAATCCTCACTGGTGTTTTTTTGGTTTTTTTTTTTTTTTTTTTTTTTGAGACAGAGTCTCGCTCTGTCGCCCAGGCTGGAGTGCAGTGGCGCAATCTCGGCTCACTGCAAGCTCTGCGTCCCGGGTTCATGCCATTCTCCTGCCTCAGCCTCCCGAGCAGCTGGGACTGCAGGTGCCCACCACCACGCCCAGCTAATTTTTTGTATTTTTAGTAAAGACGGGGTTTCACTGTGTTAGCCAGGATGGTCTCGATCTCATGATCTCATGATCCGCCCGCCTCGGCCTCCCAAAGTGCTGGGATTACAGGCGTTAGCCACCGTGCCCGTCCCGCACCTGTTTTTATAATTAAAGTTTTAGAACATAGGCATCCACATTACTTACAGATTGTCTAAGGCTGCTACTATGGCAAAGCTGAGTAGTTGTAACAGAAACCATATGGCAGCTGGGCGCAGTGGCTCACACCTGTAATCCCAGCACTTTGGGAGGCCAAGGTGGGCGGATCACTGGAGGTCAGGAGTTCAAGACCAGCCTGGCCAACATGGTAGAACTCAAATGCACTCTTTTCTGAGGGATTTTTTTTTTTTTTAGGGAAAAATTTGCCTTATATTTCTTTGAGCATATATTGATAATCTTCATTGTTGAGCAGGAGGAGTTTCAATAATTTCTTAGCCTTTCCTTATTCTATGTATTCATTTTTCATATTTTATGATTATATTAATATTCTTATATATTCTTATTATATCTATAAAACTGAATCCAGAAAGCCCCTACTATCACTGATTTGAATCACTGTATTAGCATGATGTTTTTGGCCGATGCAGTGGTTCACGCCTGTAATCTCAACACTGGGTGGCCGAGGCAGGTGGATCTGTGGAGCTCAGGAGACCAGCCTGGGCAACGTGGCAAAACCCCATCTCTACAAAAAAAAAAAAAAAAAAAAAAAAAAAATCAGGTGTGGTGGTGCACACCTGACTCTAGTCCCAGCTACTTGGGAGGCTGATGTGGGAGGATCTCCCGAGCTGGGGAGGTCGAGGTTGCAGTGAACTGAGATCATGCCACTGGATTCCAGCCTGGGCAACAAAATGAGACCCTGTCTCAAAAACAAAAACAAAAAAATTTAAAAGAAAAAAGCATGATGTTTAACAGACTTTTCATTAGAAATCAATTAGCTGGAGTTCTGGGGTTGGTGGGAAGATTCCTTCATGGCATATGTATTTTTGTGCTATATGTGTAGATATTTTTCAGGTAAGCACATTTTTAAAACTCTTGGGGCAATATTAAAGAAAAAGTTAATAGTAACTAGCAGGAAGCATCCTAGGTTCTGCTCTGACGTTGGAGCAATCAGCTTTATGACTAGTATTTGGTAAAGTATAGCAAGGAGAAGATTAATAGATGGGACAGAAACTGCCTTTGATTAGCCATTAGGTTCTAGGGGTTGTGATAGGTACAACATATATATTCTACTTTTGGCTATTGAGGGGGAAATTTGGAGATACAAATCTTATTGCTAAGGTATATATAGTGGAAAGATACACTGCCTGCATATGCTCATAGCAGAATTAAATGACTATTAATTTTTTTCTCTATTGATGTTCAAGTATTTCTTGAAGAAAGTGAAAGAAAAGGACCACCACCTACTAATCTGGAATTTATATAAAAATTTTTAACTGATTTTGTTTACATTTAAGGGAGGCACTTTGTACTTCTCACCTCTCTTTATTCTGTTGAACAAAACTGCAGTAGATATTTTCTCTTACTTTTTAAAATGTGGTTAGAAATTTAAATTTTGTATTCCTTAAGTATTTTATAACTAAAGAAGGGTGGTACAGGAAATTGGAAGGTGTTGCTTTGTTTCCAGAATGACAGGAAATGGCCAAATTCATTTCAGAAGATGGAAATCTAAAAATGGCTATCTGTCAAAGAAAGCCCACACTAAACCAGAATGACTGTTTCTCCTTAAAATACAGTGGGATTTTTTGTTTGTTTGTTTTTGAAACAGGGTCTTACTCTGTTGCCCAGACTGGAGTGCAGTGGTGCAATCTCGGCTCACTGCAGCCTCTGCCTCCTGGACACAAGCAAAATACAGTGTTTTTAACTACTCAGAACTTTGTCATCTTTGTAGCATACTACTCAGGGATAGTGTTGCTATCCCTGCTTCTCACCAAACTGTAATGCAAAGTGGGTTTAATTCTGCTTTCTAAGATTTCTAATAGCAAACCATTTTGGATATCTCTTAAATTTGTCAAAGAGGCCTAGTCTTGTGAAACAAAGCATGATAGTTTTTGGTAGTTTTTCCTGGAGTAAGGGAATAAATATGTAGAACACTTGCATTTCTATTGTTTTATTATATTTATTTATTTATTGACAGATTCTTGCTCTGTCACCCAGGCTGGAGTACAGTGGTGCAGTCACGGCTGACTATAGCATCAACCTCCCAGGCTTAAGTGATCTTCCTGCCTCAGCCTTGGAGCCTCAACTAGAGGCCTGTGCCACCATACCTGGTTAATTTTTGTTTGTTTGTTTGTGTTTTGTAAAGATACAGTTTCACCACATTGCCCATGCTAGTCTCGGAACTCCTGGGCTCAAGCAGTCCCCCCAGCTTGGCTTCCCAAGTGCTTGGGATTATAGGTGTGAGCACCACGCCTGGCCCAGTTTCTGCTGTTAAGTGTGTACACGGAGAACTGAGGAAGATGAAGATAGATATCTGATTCATGATCTCTAGGAGGAAAACATAGGAGCTTTACTGTTTGAGCCTAAGTATCTGAGTAGGATCCTTTCCTGGATTATAAATATGTGACTCTGTTACAGGAGAAAATGTCCACCTTGGTTCTGGTGATGGGCAACCAAAAGATTCTGGGCCCCTTCCTCAAGTGGAAAAGAAGCTCAAGTGTACAGTTGAAGGCTGTGACCGGACATTTGTATGGCCAGCTCACTTTAAATACCACCTCAAGACTCATCGGTGAGCAAATCTGAGATCTCATATTTGGATATATGTTGATGCAAAAGTTGATTCTTCCAGAGGAGCTTGTCCCTCAGGTTGATAGATTACAGGAAAGTAGGGACTCCGGTTAACTTCTGGTTAAGATGTCTTTTTTTTTTTTAATAGAAAGATTTGCATTGTCTCATTTATCTCATTCTTGATAAATATTTAATAAGACATTTGGGACCTAAAGACCTTAAACTAAGAGTTCTCAAATTTTATTATAAAACATATTTCCTTTGAGAACTTACAAGTAACAAGTAAGCATGGGCCCCTACCTTGAACCTATGAAATCAGTTTAAGGGGTGGTGCTAGGCATCTGTAGTTTTTTTTTTGATTTTTTTTTTTTTTTTTAAAAGAGACAGGATCTCACCCAGGCTGGAGTACAGTGGCGCCATCATAGCTCCCTGCAGTGTCAAACTCCTGTGCTCAAGTCATCTTCCTACCTCAGCCTCAGCTGGGATTACAGACTTGCACCACCACACCTGGCTAATTAAAACAAAATTTTTTTGAGACAAGGTCTCGCTGTGTTGCCCAAGCTGATCTCAAACTCCTGGGCTCAAGTAATCTTCCTGCCTCAGCCTCCAGAGTAGCTGGGATTACAGGCTGTGAGCCACCACCCAGCTGTAGTTTTAACGAAGTCTTCAGTTGATTCTGATATATCCAGTTTTTGGACTTACTGTTTGCCTTGAGAGTCAATAGGGGCTTTGACTTGTCATCTCTAGCAAAGAGTATTTTCAGATATTTTTGCTTATGTGATTATTTTTGCAGAAATGACCGCTCCTTCATCTGTCCTGCAGAAGGTTGTGGGAAAAGCTTCTATGTGCTGCAGAGGCTGAAGGTACACATGAGGACCCACAATGGAGAGAAGCCCTTTATGTGCCATGAGTCTGGCTGTGGTAAGCAGTTTACTACAGCTGGAAACCTGAAGAACCACCGGCGCATTCACACAGGTATGTGCAGCACCAACATTCCTTTGGGCAGTCTACTCCTTGGCTCTGCATGTTTGCCTATCCTTAGGAAAAACTCAAGTGGGAATAGAAATGAAGGTCTGGGGTTGTTGCCAGAACTCTGAAGATGGGATTTCTTTTTCAAATGACTTGTGGCACTTATAATAATATTTATTGTATTTTTACCTGTGTGTTTAGAGTGAACAATGTTGATTTCTGTCTCCAGGAGCCTAACCTGTAGGGAGAGTTGTAAGACCTTCTCAGACAACAATGATGTGGGGAGATCTGGACAAAATCAGTCTGTGTTCAAATCTTTCTGAACACTGCACAGTTAAGATTTTGGGCAGTAACATTTATTGAGTCACACAAATCATGCAGAACCTGTTCTAGGCACTAAATGGGGCAGGGTGGGAAAAAATACAAAAGATAAGATACAGTCCCTGACTTTCTCATTAGAGCCTCACAACATGAGAAACAGAATAGAGAAGTTAATTATTCTGGGTCACACAGCATGTTAATATCACAGGAGTCTAAGGGTGATTTTCCAAGCCACTTAGTCTAGCATGTTCTAGTCTCTAGCCAAAGTATAATTGCTGAACCCAGACCACTTTTAGAATGTGTAACTATTCTTCCCCACTTTCATTGACTCTTCTTGATTCTTGCATTGGTAAAATGACAGCAGGTAAAATTAAAAGGCAAATATATATATGACATATATAAAATAAAAAGCATGTATAAAAACATAAGGCATATGTAAAATAGAAAAGTAAAAGGCATATATATATATACTTTTTTTTGTTTTTTGTTTGTTTGTTTGTTTGAGACGGAGTCTTGCTGTGTCGCCAGGCTAGAGTGCAGTGGTGAGATCTCAGCTCACTGCAAGCTCCGCCTTCTAGGTTCACGCCATTCTCCTGCCTCAGCCTCCCCAGTAGCTGGGACTACAGACACCCGCCACCACGCCCAGCTAATTTTGTGTGTGTGTGTATGTTTTTAGTAGAGACAGGGTTTCACCATGTTAGGTAGGATGGTCTCGATCTCCTGACCTTGTGATCTGCCCATCTCAGCCTCCCAAAGTGCTGGGATTACAGGCGTGAGCCACTGTGCCCAGCCTGTACCGTTTTTTAAAATTAGTCAAATGCGGTAGTGAGAAGAGGGGAAAAAGTAAAACAAGGCACTTGATCTATAACTGTGAACATCAGTTGAGATAACTCACTACCTTCGGACCAGCCCTTTGTTGTACCATTTGATAACACTGAACATCTTCTTAAAAAGCTTTCTTTTTTTCTTATTTATTTTTGAGACAGAGTCTTACTCTGTCACCCAGGCTGCAGTGCAGTGATGTGATCTCAGCTCACTGCAACCTCTGCCTCTTGGGTTCAAGCTTTTCTGGTGCCTCATCCTCCCAGTAGCTGGGATTACAGGTGTGCACTACCATGCCCAGACAATTGTATTTCTAGTAGAGACCGAGTTTTGCCATGTTGGCCAGGCTGTTCTCGAACTCCTGACCTCAAGTGATCTGCTGACCTTGCCCTTCCAAAGTGCTGAGATTACATATGTGAACCACCACACCCAGCCTTAAAACGTTTTTACTTCAAAATATGGCCTGATTTTTCCTTTTTTTTTTGTTTTTTGTTTTTCTCTTTCTAATTCTTTCTGACTTTTATCTCTGTTAATCTCTGAATTTTTCACCAGTTTCAGAATTTCTCGTTCCTTCTCTTTTACTCAGTGCGCACTCTTGTCATAATCTCAGACCTCAATTTAATTATTTCTCCCTAGATGCCTCACAGATCTGAATCTCAATAATAATAATAATAAAAGTTAGCATTTGTTGAGACACTTTAATATGTACCAACCACATATATATTATCTCATTTAATCTTTAAGGTAACTTTATGCCTTAGATGCTATACTTATTGATAAAGGAACAGAAGATTAGAGAGAGAAGTAACTTGCCCAATATCATGCAGGTAGGAAATGGCAGAGCTGGAATTTGAATTCTGATATGATCCCAGAGCTCTTCCAAGGATTTTATATTTAAATGCTGACAACTCAGTTTATCTCAAATGTCAAAACTGACCTCAAATCTTTGTTAGTAGTATTGATAGTAATTAAAGCTGCAGTTCAGGTCGGGTACAGTGGCTCACACCTGTAATCCCAGCGCCTTGGGAGGCTGAGGCGAGCAGATCACTTGAGGGCAGGAGTTTGAGGCCAGCCTGGCCAACACAGTGAAACCCCATCTCTACTAAAAATACAATTAGCCAGGCATGGTGATGGGTACCTGTAATCCCAGTTACTCAGGAGGCTGAGGCAGGAGAATTGCTTGAACCCGGGAGTTAGAGGTTACAGTGAGCCAAGATCGTGCTACTACACTCCAGCCTGGGAGACAGAGCGAGACTCCATCTCAAAAGAACAATTTTGACTGGGTACAGTGGCTCATGCCTGTAATCCCAGCACTTTGGGAGGCCAAGGTGAGTGGATCATCTGAGGTCAGGAGTTCCAGACCAGCCTGACCAACATGGAAATCCCATCTCTACTAAAAATACAAAAATTAGCTGGGGCATGGTGGCGCATGCCTGTAATCCCAGCTACTAGGGAGGCTGAGGCAGGAGAATCGCTTGAACCCAGGAGGCAGAGGATGCAGTGAGTGGAGATCGCACCATTGTACTCCAGACTGGGCAACAAGAGCAAAACTCTGTCTCAAAAAAAAAAAAGTAAAGCTGCTAATTCAGTGGCTTACTATGAGGGCTTACTATGTGCCAGGCACCATGCTGAATATTTACCTGGTATTATCTCATTTAATCCTCAAAACACTTTTGAAATTGTATTATCTCCGTATTACAGATGAAAAGCTGATTTTTAAAGAGATTAAACACCTTCCCCATACAAATAAGTGGTAGTGCCAGGATCTGAAGTCAGAATTGGATTAACAGACCCCAAAGGCCATGTTTTTCACCATTTTGCTGCATTGCCTTTTAAACCTGTTCCTTCTCCTGTGTCCCTTATCCCAGTGAAATAACCATCCTCTCAAGTTTCCAAATAGGTATATCCCCTAACCAGCTTGATGCAAATATTTCATGCCATTACATTCTTATGTAGAATATTTTTCTAAATCCTTTTTGTATATTGAGGTCTTTAGTTCATCTTTTGAAACATTTGACCTTGTAATTACTAAAATGTTCTGTTTTCTTGACATTTGTTCTGTTACATATATTAATATATTGTTCATTCTTTCAATAACTTTTGAGTACCTAGCATTCTGGGGTAGGGATTAGTATACAAATAAAGCATTGAAAAAAGCTACCGCTGGAGAATCGCAAACATTAAACTGTGTGGTACAGTCTGAAAGAATAGTATAATCTAGCAGTGCTGTTCCCTTCTAGAAAGCTCAGCTCCCGTAATGTCACTGTGCCAGCCTTACTTGCCATTTTTTGAACTTTCCCTTGGCACTCTCAATTTCAAGGCTCTGCTCACACTATTCCTTGTGCCTGAAATTTCCTTCCATCCTTGCCATCTTTTAGATGAACTCAAATTCAGCTGCTTACAAAAATTACTGCAAGGGAGCACTTTTTTTTTTTTAATGAACTCATTTGTCTCACACTGGTCTGTGACTTTTAGAGGATAGAGACTGCATCTTTTTTGTTTTGATTTTTTTTTTTTTTTTTTTTTTTTTTGAGACAGGGTCTCACACTCTCTCTGTAGCCCAGGCTTGAGCCCAGGAATTTGAGATCAGCCTGGGAAACATAGTGAGACTTCATCTGCAAAAAAATTATACTTTTAGATGGATCTAGAAACTGAGTCATAAAGAAAATTGATGTAAGGTAAAAGTCCCGACCGCATATTCAGTATTAATCTTGATATCCTCAGAGGGTGGGAATCACTGAAGAAGGTAGGTTAATGCAACTCTCTAGCTCTTGGGCCAGGAGGGAGAAGGAAGTATAGGCTTTGAGGCAGCCATTCCAAGGAAAAGGGCAAGGCTGTCAGTGGGATGTATACTAAAAGATCACTGAGAGGCAACACTTGCTAGGTAGCCCAGTTAAAATTATAACATGAATTAAATAAATCAGAGTAGGTAAGTCATTCGACTCTGAATAAAGTTGGTGGGAAAGGAGAGTAACAGGTAATCAGTTCATCAGAAGACTGAATCTTTATCTCATTTTCTGTCTCTAGGAGAGAAACCTTTCCTTTGTGAAGCCCAAGGATGTGGCCGTTCCTTTGCTGAGTATTCTAGTCTCCGAAAACATCTGGTGGTTCACTCAGGTATCAGAACCTTTGCCATTCATAGATTTTAGGAAAAGTAGACAAAAGACTAAAAGGGTTGTGGGGGTGATATAAAGACACCTAAAAAGAAACAGACTGTTCACTATAAAGATAGAAAGCTTCTCATCATCATGACGGAATCAGAAATCTAGGCCCTTAATTCTTATAATCAAGGGGGGGGACATCTAATTATTATTTTCAGCTATGTTTCTAATACAGCCTTTTTTTGAACAGCAAATTTGGCACTCTGCTGGGTGCTTTATAAGTTACATGAAACGTGGACGCTCTTTGGGATTCTCTTTGGGAATTGATGTTTTTATCCTTGGGGAGGATTTCATATCAGAAGAAAGTAAAAAGATTGATATAAGTTGTAGCAGCACCAGTAATATTACTGCCTTCTGAGCAGGTGTTAGTGATCCTGCTTGAGTCACCATTTTGGCAGAAACTGTGCCTTTGGCAAATAGAACCACAAACCTTATCGTTGCAGATGTGGAGAAGAGAAGAAAGGAGTAAGATTTAGCGACCCATTTTCTGTTTGGAGCCTTAAATTAATTCCCTGCAATTCTGTCAGTTTGCTCACTCTGCAGATATATCTCATCTTCTCAACCAGAAGTCAGGTACAGCCCAGGGAAAAACCTGTATCTTGTCAGAAGGACTTTTTTCCTGTAGGACATGGTGATTTACTTGGAAAACAAGACGGGGAAGGTAGTTTAAGAAGGGCCTAGAATGTCAGAAAGGAGAGTTTGTGGAGCCTACTGGAAGTACAACCTGATGAAAACTTGGCTTACTGAAGGTTAATCTGGCAGTGATGCAGAAGCTAAACCAAAACAGGAAGAGATGAGAAGACTTTTTTTCAGTCTGGTCAAGAAGTCTGCTCCAGTGTAGTGGCAGGGAGCATGGAAAGAGACCCAGTGAAAGAATCTGTTCAACTCCACAAATGATTGGCTATAAAGTGATACAGAAATGGAGGCAGCAGGTGAGGATTATTGATTCAAGAAGCATGGTAGTGGCCGGGTGTGGTGGCTCATGCCTGTAATTCCAGCACTTTGGGAGGCTGAGGCGGGTGGATCTCTTGAGGTTAGGAGTTTGAGACCAGCCTGGCCAACATGGTGAAATCTTGCCGAGATCAGCCTACTAAAAAAATACAAAATTATCCGGGCGTGACAGCACATGCCTGTAATCCCAGTTACTTGGGAGGCTGAGGCAGGAGAATTGCTTGAGCCCGGGAGGCAGAGGTTGCAGTGAGCCGAGATTGTGCCATTGCACTCCAGCCTGGGCAACAAGAGTGAAACTCCGTCTCAAAAAAAAAAAAAAAAAGGCATGGTAGTTTCAGGAGGTTGAGGCTGCAGTGAGTTGTGATTGTGCCACTGCACTCCAGCCTGGATGACCGGGCGAGACCCTGTCTCAAAAAAAAAAAAAAAAAAACAACAGTGATAGTGAAGATAAGGAGGGAAAGGGGGCTTTCCAGTTGTCAGGGTGACTCACATATTTATGAGGGGTTAGAAAAGTGTTGGATGCTGAGTGCTAGAGGGGGTCTGTAGACTAGCCTTGTGAGTTCGTTGGAGGTGAGAAAACAATTCCTGGCGTACAACAGCTGTTTGGAATTTGTTGATTGAACCAATGAGAATGAATAAAAGGATTGCTAAGTAACAGTGAGTGAGGACATAGCTGAGAGTAAGTAGCATAACTTTTTTTAGTAGACATTCAGATTTTATTACTTTTTTCTGCTACTGCTGAACAATTTAAAAGCTGGACACTGGAGAAAATACGTGATGGAGGTTAATCAGAACAGAGGCTTGCTGAGTAAGAGATGAACTCAAGGAGGAGAGGGATTCTAGAATGGAATCAGGTCATTGTTGAATGACGGGCCATGGGAAACAAGGGGAAGCCAGAACATGACAAGTGGAAAGGAGGAACTGGAAGTTACTTATGAGGAAAGCAAGCTACTGCAGCGGGAGCAAGGAAGTTGGAGATTACAATCAGGAATGGGCATTGCAGAGTTGAGCTATTAGGAGTGGAGCAGTGTTTTAATATGATGACAGGTTCTAAGCAGAGATGGCAAACTGGTATCCTGTAGGCTAGATGTGGACTTCAGATGTGTTTTGCTTGGATTGTAGAGCATTTTTATTTTACTTTACTGTGTCAGATTATGTGAAAGATTCACCAAAGTAGAGGAGTTTTTTTTTTACATAGCAACAGTGGTGGTATACCTATCAAAATTAATAATTCCTTGGTTTTATCTTATAACCAATGTTCAGTTTTTTCTACTTGTTTCGAAAATTTCTTTTAAAGTTGGTTTGTTTAAATCAGGATCCAACAAGATCCAATATTATACTTGGTTATTAAGTCTTTAAAACTCTAGATCTTTCTACATGGAGTTTTTGTTGTTGTTGTTGTTTTTTCATAGAGTTGTTGCAAAACACAGTCAGTTGAGTCCTGTAGAATACCCCACATTCTGGATGTGTTGGTTTGCTTCCATTTATGTCATTTAACTTGTTTCCCTACATTTCCTATAAATGTAAGTAAGCTCTAAAAACTTCAAAGTTTGGAAGTTTTGGGCAAGAATATGTGAGAGATGGTTCTGTGTGCTTCATTTTGTGTCACATCAGGAAGCTCACAGTGCTTGGTTGTCAAAATTGATCCATGGGTTCAGCTGGCCTAATCCCTATATTGTAAAGTTCCCTATGAACCTTTCACTTTCTCTTTTTTTGAGACAGTTATTTACTGTGTTGCCCAGGCGAGAGTGCAGTGGTGTGATCTTGGCTCACTGCAGTCTCCACCTCCTGAGTTCAAGCAATTCTCCTGTCTCAGCCACCCGAGTAGCTGGTATTACAGGCGCATGCCACTACGCCCCACAAGTTTTTATATTTTTACTAGAGATAGGGTTTCACCATGTGGCCAGGCTGGTCTTGAACTCCTGACCTCAAGTGTTCTGCCTGCCTTGGCCTCCCAAAGTGCTGGGATTAACAGGCGTGTGCCACTGCACCCAGCCAACCTTTCACCTTTTGATTTTATTCCTAAATGATGCCTGAATCCCTTATTTCATTAAGGATTGTAAAATGGTGGTTTTTCTTACTCATTTACTCTTTTCACATTAGTTGGAATTCTTCTGTACTGTGGGACTCTGTAGTTGGACTCTTTTCCACTAATATCAAGTATAGGGCTATTTGATCATTTGCGTAGCCAAGGCAGGATCAATGTGTAATTCTTTTAATTGTGAATTTTGAGAATAAGGAATTGATGCTCTAGTTACTTCTAGTATTTCATGTTTGATGCTATTTCAAATGAAATGTTTCCTTGATTTTATTTTTGAGTTGTTCATTGCTAGTATGTAGAAATATAATTGAATTTTGTACATTGATCTTGCAACCTTGATAAGTGCTTGAGTTTTAGTAGTTTCTTTCTTTTTTTTTTTTGCTTCCAGCTTTTTAGTTCAGGGGTACATGTGCAGGATGTGCAGGTTTGTTACATAGGTAAAGGTGTCTTTTACCATGGTGGTTTGCTGCACAGATCATCCCATCACCTAGATATTAAGCCCAGCGTCTATTAGCTATTCTTCCTGATGCTCTCCCCCTCCTCCTACACCCTATTTTTTTCTTTTCTGTTTATTTTTTTAGAGACAAAGTCTCACTCTATTGCCCAGGCTAGAGTGCAGTGGCACCATCATAGTTCACCGAAGCCTTTGAACTCCTGGGAACAAGTGATCTTCCCACCTCAGCCTCCCCAATAGCTGGGACTGAGGCAGAAATTTAAAAATAAATATGCATTCATTCACTCCAAGAAAATAACAGGCAAGGCAAGGGTTAAAAAGAAAAGAACAAGTTTTCCTCTGCCTAGCAAGTTCACTTCAAGGACAGTTAAAAGGTAACGCTGTTTGAGAAGCCAAGGCCAAAAGAATGGACTCCAGATACCCCCTCCTCCAGAGCAAAGTTGAAGGAAAAAAAAAAGAGGGAAAGACAAATTCCTTTACTGTTATTCACTTCCCTGGCTTCTTAAGAATAACTGTTTTACAAATGTCTGTATTTAGCCAGTTCTTATTTTTCTTTCAATGCAGTTACAAGGCCACCAGCTATGCAAGGCCACAAGTTATGCTATGCTATAGATTATGTGACCTGTCACGATTAACTGCTTTTGTTTTACTTTTGTAAGTCTGTTTGTAAAAACCCCACTCCGTCTTTGTTTAATGCTCAGCTTTTTGGATGTGAATCCACTGAGCTGGTGTGTACATAAAATAAACAATCCTCCCGTTCTCCATATCAGCCTTTCCAGTCCTTAATTTCCCGCAACAGGACTACAGGCTCACACCACCACATCTAGCTAATTTCTATTTTTTTTGTAGAAATGGAGTCTTTTTGTGTTGCCTGGGCTGGTCCTGAACTCCTGGCCTCAAGTGATATTCCCACCTTGGCCTCCCAAAGTGTTGGGATTACAGGCATGAGCCACCACACCTGGCTGAGTTTTTAGTAGTTTTTAAAAAATAGATTTTTTAGTGTTTTCTACACAAAAGATCATGTCATCGGAGATTAAAGATAGTTATGCTTCTTCCTTTCCAATCTAGGTGCCTTTAATTTCCTTTCTTTTCTTTTCTTTTCTTTTTTATTTATTAATTTTTTTTGAGACATGGTCTCCCTCTGTTGCTCAGGTTGGAGTGCAGTGGCATGATCATGGCTCACTGCAGCCTCGACCTCCTGGGCTTGGGCAGTTCTTCCACATCAGCCTCCCGAGGCTGGGACTATAGGCGCGTACCCAGCTTTTTTTTTTTTTTTTTTTTTTTTTTTTTGAGTCTCACTGTGTTGCCCAGGCTGGAGTGCAGTGGCACAGTCTCAGCTCACTGCAATCACCAGCTCCCAGGTTCAAGTGATTCTTCTGCCTCAGCCTCTCGAGTACTGGGATTACAGGCATGCACCACCACGCCCAGCTAATTTTTGTATTTTTGGTAGAGACAGGTTTTCACCATGTTGACCAGGCTAGTCTGGAACTTCTGACCTCAAGTCATCTGC